TATATTTCCTCAGGATTTGCCAGGAATACCTCCTGAGAGACAGGTTGAGTTCGGGATTGACCTAATCCCTGGTGCGGCTCCGAAAGCCAAAGCACCGTATCGGTTGGCTCCCCCGGAGATGCAGGAGTTATCTAAACAGCTACAGGAGCTGCTAGACAAGGGTTTTATCAGGTCGAGCAATTCGCCCTGGGTGTACCGATTTTGTTTGTAAAGAAAAAGGACGGATCGCACCGTATGTGCATAGATTACTGGGAGCTGAATAAGGTAACGGTGAATAACTGTTACCCACTTCTGAGGATAGATGATTTGTTTGATCAATTGCAGGGAGCGTCTTGGGTTTCCAATATCGACTTACGCTCCGGGTATCATCAGATTCGAGTCAGAGGCGAGGGTGTGCAGAAGACTGCTTTTAGGACCCGATATGGTCATTACAAGTTTGTGGTGATGTCGTTTGGGCTCACCAACACTCCAGCAGCGTTCATGGATCTCATGAACCGCGTGTGCAGGCCGATGCTAGATCGGTCTATAATAGTATTCATAGATGATATCTTGGTGTATTCCAAGACTCAGGAGCAGCACGAGGAGCATCTGAAGCCATGCATTTTGGTCATATGAAGCCTTTAAAGCCATGCATGCACGTAAAGTTAGCAACTTTACGTGAAAAATATGCCCTATAAGTCTAGATCCATGTTTTGTAGCAGTTGCATGGCTCAGATCGGACCTGTATGGAAAAAGGGTTGAATGAACTCGACGAGTGCACAGGAGGACTCGACGAGTTATATGAAGTTAGCCGTCGACTCGACGAGTTGGAAGAACAACTCAGCAAGTCCGATGAAGTTTGCCTTAGAACTCGGCGAGTTGTATGAGCAACTCGGCGAGACGGATGAGTTTTCCCGAGTAAAGTTGTGTTGAGTAGTATGGCTTCATTCCCTCGTGGTTACATGTAAAGTTAGCAACTTTACGTGTTCAATTGGTTCCAAGATTTCAGATCTGCGAGTTAGCAACCATAGAGCAGATTCGAATGTAGTTGTATGGAATCTGCTCGACAGAACTCGGCGAGTAGTTCCTCAGACTCGGCAAGTCCGGTCAACTGGAAGTTGACTTTGACCAGGGGTAAAATAGTCATTTTTACCCTCAGTACAATTATCAGTAAATGATGGAGTGTATTTATGGAAATTGTAGCCGGGGAGATACCAGAGTAGCAGTAGTTGGTTTCCATAACAGTTCATTTAGCAGCCAGTGTACGAGGTGAGTTTCCTTCTAGTAGGAACGGGTCTAAGGCCACAATGCCGACCCGTTTAATTAGTAGTAGTTTCTGGACCTCGATCTGATACAGTAGTTAGAATGTTTGATGCCTTCGTGGCTCAGACAGTATTTATGTGTTATGTGTTCCGGGCTATGCAGTATGCAGTTTATGTGTTCATGCTAGTTGATATGTTATGTTATGCTATGCTTAGTTAGTTTCCGAACTTCAGTCCAATGCAGTTAGTTCCAGACTTCGGTCCGATGCAGGGGACAAGGTCCCAGTCAGTTCCAGACTTTGGTCCGATGCAGTCAGTTCTGAACTTGGGTCTGATGCAGTTAGTTTCGGACTTCGGTCTGATGCAGGGGACAAGGTCCCAGTCAGTTCCGGACTTCGGTCCGATATAGTTTCCGGACTTCGGTCCGATGTAGTGGGCAAGGCCCAATATATGTTTATATGTTATTGTATGGTATGTGGTAGCTTGGGGGAGCTCACTAAGCTTTGTGCTTGCAGTCTCAGTTTTGGTTTCAGGTACTTCCGCAAGTAAAGGGAAGAGCTCGGGTTGATGGCATCGCACACACCACAACTTCAGTTTATCCTGGGAATTGTTTTAGCTTGTCATAGATATGATTTGATACAGTTTTCTCGTAATACTTTGTTATGGTTTTGAGATATTGACATATGAGTTTTATTTTATGATATTGACATGATGTTTTTAGTAATTATTAAACAAAATTTTTTGGGTCGTGTTTTGGGATATTACAAGAACATTCTCAAGTATCTTCGGAGGACTAAGGAATGGATCCTTACCCTCGGTGGGAGTAATGACTTGAGAGTAGTAGGGCATAGTGATGCTAGTTTCCAGAGTGATAGGGATAATTTCTTCTCTCAGTCAGGCTAGGTCTTTACCTTAAACGGAGGAGCAATTACTTGGAAAAGTTCCAAGCAAAAGACATTGGCTGATTGAACTTGCGAATCAGAGTATATAGCAGCAAGGGAGGCAGTAAAAGAGGCGGTATGGATGAAGAACTTCATTGGATACCTTGGAGTAGTACCAACTATAAAGGAGACAATGGAAATTTTCTGTGATAAAAGCACTCCTCGTGGCAAAGAGGGTATCATCGGATGAGAACCCGGTAGATCCCCTCACGAAGGGACTGGGTAGGATTAAGCATCTCCAGCATGCGAGGCGCATAGGGCTGAAGGATGATATTATTTTTAGTAGTTAGATAACTCAGAAATTTGTAAAGTGTAATTTACATTTGATGATGAATAGAAGTTGTGTTTATTTATGAGTAAAGTGTTGCTATCTTTTGTCAATCGTTTACTATTATTTCTTTTGCATGTTTTAACTTCCAGAATACTTATGTTGTGTATCATATATTATTCATATTCTCCAAAGTCGGTCATATGTCGGAGGTAGATATGAATCAAGACTGTCATGAGGTTGGCTTGTAGCAAAGTGGTGCTACAATACTTCATGAGTACTCATAAGTTCTAAGTATTGGACTCAACCCACGCTCACTGGTATCACTTCATGGAATTTATCCTGAGTGATCGTGAGATAGTAATATCATATAAGTCTTCAAACCTAGAGATATGACTTGTTGCCTATGAGTTGGTTATACATTGATCGTACGAAACCGAATTGGTAACTCGATGTTATAAAACGTACTTTTGTGTGTGATTCAACAAGTAGTAGAAGAACAATATGAGTCGGAGTTTATCTGTTCCTTCTTGGATTAGAAGTGATATTTGGGCCCCTTGATGATTTTGTTTTGACCTATGTATCGGTACCGATCAGAACTAAATTGATGTGTTCGATTAAGTTCTTTGTCAAACAAATCGGAAATCGGGAAACAAACTGTTGGACAATAAGTAATACATTGTTCCATGTATTTGTCCAGGTTATATCTAGAACAGAGGATTATATGATCACTTATCTTAAATGGCGTACCATCATCATCTCAGTTTCGAGAGACCTTGAATGAGATACGATTGTTGATCGGTTCCTGAAGTCATACTTGCAGTTATAGTTATTAGACTTATTCAAGTGGGAAACTATTGGATAAGGTGTCTAAATCCATAACTATTTTTGGTATGTACTTGACCCAGTTTGGCATGGTCCATTTGGGTTCATGGCATCATGCATTTGGATAGACTAAAATGAGAGAAATAACACTTATGGTTTATTAATATATTATAAGTTCTAATATATTAATAATAATCTTATTTAATTAGTATTGATCAAGAATTAATCTAGAATTAATTAAGAGATCAAAAGGTGACTAATTAAATATATGGGTTGATTGTGTAATCACTCATACTTGTATAGTAGGCTTAATGCTCCATGGAATGCCAAGTTGGACTAAGGCTCATAAGATGATCCATGGATGCTCCATGGTGTTTATAGGACCCATGGGTCATGGAAATTAAAGGTCATGACAATTCGGGTTTACATGGTGTAACCCTAATTCTAACACACTATATAAGGATGCTTATGCTCACCAAAATCGTCCACTAGAAGATAAAAGTGAGGGCTAGCCGATTTTAGAAGTGTGACATTTCTCTCAAAGTTTATTCCAAGTGCATTTGGTGTTGTGTGAGAAATTTGAGGCATCACACTTGGGGTGCTAGGCTCACAAGGTTGTCAAGGAATCCAAATTACTACAATGTATGTATTGCTAACAATCTTTTATGTTTAAAGTTCCCCATGTATGCTAGATAGAATTAAGAACCTTGGAAATCAAATTTTGCATGTATTTTAGACAAACACAAACCCAAGGTTTCTAGGGTTGCATGTACACCTTAAGAGTGTTAGAATGCTCAAAACCCTACAGTGTCAACCTTATGTCAACCCCTTATTTGTTTTTTTATCAAAACCGAGAATAAGTGAGGGGAAAGAAGAAAATGGATATTGGTCTTGGATTGAAATTTAGTTGAGATTGCATTGGCCCATTAGGGATTTTTTGATCCATGTGGTTAAATAAATAGGTTTTCGGCCCATAGAAACAAGATGAGTCGTTTTCGGACCAATAAGGCTCATGAAGAGTCTTATGGCCCAAAATACTATTGCTTAATAAATGTAGGTCCAACTAGGGCCCAAATGAGGATTTTTAGCCCAAAAGAACTAAGTTGAGAGGTTACTGGCCCATTAGGCCCGATAAGTGAATATCGGTCCAATAAGAGGTCTAAACCGGGAAGTTACACCCTGCTCCCGAGTACATTAAAGGAAAGAAAAGAAAAGAAAGGAAGAACAAGGAGAGAAAAGAAAAGAAAGGGAACAGAAAGGATAAAGTATTATGTGCTCCCGAGTTCCAAAGAAAGGAAAAGAAAGTATTCATTTTAGGTGCTCCCGAGTTGAAAGGCAAAGAAAAGAAAATAAAAAAAGATAATTATACCATTCATGTTATTGAGTAAATATTTTAAGTGTTTACAACCCGACATCCATTCCACCCCACCCCACCCCACCCCACCCCCCCCCCCAAAAAAAAAAAAAAACCAACTCTCCTTCCTCCCGGTGTACTTAAAACACAAAATATTTAAAAAAAAAAAAAGGAAAACCGCATGTTATTCAATTGTTTTCAAGATGCAAAAACAAAAACCACAAACAACTTTAAAAAAAACAAAATTGTAAACCCATAATATCAATCCAGTAACAATCACCCAAGGTTATTCAATCACGTGCACCCATCATATCTTTGAGGAAACCCATCCGTATCTGAAGGGGACAACTAAACAATGTCCTAGATTTTTCTTAATTTGCTGCCAAAAAACTTAGAGCCCTCGGTAATTCATGGGGTTCCAAACCCACCAACTCCAATTCTCTATAAATTTCGCCCCCTGTATACTCCCGAGGATAAGCTCTATCAAATATTATATTACCCTCCCTGATAGCACCAGCCACATTATCAACCGATTTCATTATCTTTGAGTTAAAATCTTCTTCTTCTTCTTCTTCTTCTTCTTCTTCAAATTTCCTCTTTTTACTCTTACACTTCTTTGCACCTGAAGACTGCCCTTGTGAAAACGAAGTTGGAATAACACCCTGAATGTCATCATCAAGATCAACATATTCGTTCTCCAAATGAATTTCATTGTTAGCTAACAAGTCATCAACTTCTTTAATTGTTTCAACTTGAATTTTTTTCAATTTTATTTAATCGGTCATTTCTTTCTTTCGCTATTTCAGCATGTGCACTAGATGCCCAATCCCTTGCAAATAATACCAACATATCATCGAAGTTTGCAATCTTTTTTGTCCTTAACAACGCAGCCTTAGGTTTTGACTGTTTAACAACACAAAAATAATTAATATTGCAAACAATAACATAAAATATTAAAAAAATAACATAGACATAAAAGGAACACTTACATTTATTAAATTATCCCATACTTTTTCCTCCACTTCTATTAGTTGAGTAGACGAATTCCAAGAGAGCCCGCTCAATGAAATTCCCCTAAACAAATCGTGCCATTGCGAAAAATGGTTTTTAAGGTTTTGTAGCTATTCTTCATATGACTTTTGGTAATATTCATTTGATGCTCTTTGTTCAACTCCTCAACCATTTGAGCATATGCAGTTGGTGTGAAACTACCATTCACCCTATTGCCTATCTCTAGTTGTTTAATCATCGCTTTGGTGTACGCACAATCCATTTTATCTGACCATTTAACTTGTTCCTTTTCACTACCACTAGCTTCTTGTTTGCTCATGATGACTTTGCGCATAGGAATAAAAATTAAAGAATCATACATTGTTAGACCATAATACAAAGCATAATACTAATGAAAAATATGAATGGTAAATCACATAATTAATCTCAAAAACCAATCCTCAATACAATGTGAAATTGAAAACAAAATGTATCAATATGAAACTAGTTTACATACTAATTTAATTGTTTGAATGTGCCAAATAATTTGCCCACGTTTCATTTACAATTGAATTCCTTAGTTGATCTGCCCTATTATTATCCTCATATGTTTTTGTTGAATTACGATGATCTTGCTCTTGTGGTCCGTTTAAGATCTCCTGCATCACCTCATCTTCATGATTTATGTCGCGGTCTTCATCTAATAAAATGTTGTGTAGAATACAACATGCCAAAAATATGGCAAATTGTGTTTCACAAAAGTAAAATGGTTCTGTTGTACTTTGAATGATAGGAAACCTTCTTTTAAGGACACCAAAAACTCGCTCAATGGTGTTACGTAAGGAAGCATGAAAAAGATTAAACGACTCATTAGAATTTTGTGGACCACGCATGGTGGTGGTATTGGTGTTTTGTTGTTAGGGTTACGCCTGGGATTCCTGTGTGGCGGTATCTTTAACTATACGTTTAAAAGATGACGATATGGATAAGAATAAATGAATAATGAATGTGTCTCATGAACTAAATTGCTATAGTTCAACAACAGATGATAGTATGAGTCTCACAGATAGAAGAGCGAAGGTTATTCGTAAATCTGAATATATGAACAAGCGTATGGTTTTTCCATAATATTTTAAAGATTGAACGCGATACTCAACGTAGTAGTAATAGCGTGTGAATTATATTAATATGATAGATGATACAACGATCACGAAAATTTGACCCTTAAAACGGTCTCCGATTACAAGAATTTAAAGGAAGTAAAAAAAAAACTTTTAGCCGAAGTCCTATCTTATAACAAAATTTGAGGTTTTCGCAAGTACTACTTGCGACATGTGTTGCACTTGGAGCTCGACTCCGCATCCGATTGCTTCGACTCCATAAGATGCCTATCAAAGGCGGCATGTTGTTCCCTTAACTCTGCGAGGGCTGCATTCGTTTGTGCTTGGAATGCTTCGGCGCGGAGGTGGATGTCATTCTGCAACATATCCAGACGACGGATATCGGCCGTGTGGACTTGTACTTCCACGTTGACTTCTTGGATTCGGTTTGCTTGAACCCCTGATTGGTAGGACTGGTTGGCCAGTTTACCTACCATCGCCGGAAGTGCTCGGTCGGCTGAACCTCCGTCCCTGATGTCGTAGAAGTCTCGACACATACCGTAGGGAGAGCGTATCCCTTGTTGGTGGCTCCAGTGGACGAGGTGACTTCCCCAAACGGGAGTCGGTCCTTGGAAGTTCCTCCTAATGGCTGGAGGGTTGATTATCTCTGGTTCCGAGTCTGTACCAGAATCATCCCCTCCATCCAACTCGATAGGCTCTTCGCCCTCTTCCGGATCCTCCTCTATCCATCCTTTGTTGCCTTGGTTTGGGTAGTAGGGGTCCCCATGCGGGTGAAATCCATCCATTTGACTATACGAGAATAGGGTTATAAGATTTGAACAAAACTTGAGAACATGTAATACTAATTAACCTATTGTATGCACCAAATACTCCTATAGTATTTAAATTGTACGTTAGATACTAGTGTCTATTTTGTTAAGTTTTGACTTGTTGCTCACTACGATCATTCCTCGATATACGTTAGACTAATTTCGGATAAACATAGTTGATCATGCTATATTCGTCCCAAATTCGATTACATATCTCGAGAACTAATCGTAGTGTCCAACTTGTCTTAATACTTTTGTATAGTTCTCATCATGAAAATATGTCGTTGCATGCATGTATTTTGGATTTTCATAACCTAAAATAATCTATTTATATTAAATAAGGATTTTAGGTACGAAAACTTTTGTCAGAGACTTTGAGTCCCTAAGCATTTATAGTTTGTATATCTTATGAGGTTCGATATACTTAGTTCACTATAAACAATGCTCTGATACCAATCTATCACACCGCCAAACCGGAACGGCAGAAACGTTCGGGGGCGGATGACTTCATGTGGTAACGTAATAAATGAATACATAGTAAAGAAAGCAATACAACCATCATATATATAATTGAAAGTTTACATTGTTTAAAAGAGTACATGTTCAAAACCAATTACAATATGATGTCAAAATATGAAATTAAACAGGCACCGCAACGTCCCTTCTCTAAAACCTGTTTGTTACCTGTAATTACTGAATCCCTGGGACATACAAGTAGTTTTGAAAGAGTAGATCTACATTTAAGTTGGTGAGTTTCATAAGTATTTAATGACAATGTTTTTATGAAATGAAATGTTTTTTTTCTTGTTTGTTTGTTCCTCGAAAATCCTATATTTTCTGCTAGTATAAATGTAGCCTTCTTTCAAGACCAATGTTTGTTTCTAGTAAATGTATGTACGTATAAAATTTCCAATATATCTGAAAAACCCCATAAATCATTGTTCTTTTAACACTCTTATGTGAGTTTTATAACCATACTATTGACAAGGAATACCTATACACAACGTTCTTCAAGCGTTGGAATGTTCTGATGTTTGTCACCCCAAATGGTGGACTGTAGCTAACAGTCAGGGCGCGGGTTGTCAAGCTCGTATAGATCTATACATAAACAACATGCTCCCCCTCCAAAGGATTCTGGTATATAATACAGGACTTGAAATGTGTACTCGAACGTACGTGAAGTTAATGTCTCACAAAACTTAGTATAAAACAGATTTACGTGTGAAAATATTCGTTCGTTATTGTATATGAAAGTAGCTTCTTGAAATAGTAGTTCCATGTATGTAAAATTTCGTAGTATTCTCGTAAGACTATACCTATTATAGTTTCCTAAAAGTTTGTTTCGTTTGTATAATAAACCCTTAGTGAAAATGTTCACTTGTTATGAAAAGTGTAGTTTTTGTAGTGCCAAAACCGACACACAGAAATGTAGTATAAGCAAAGTATTTGATTTATATAAATACATAAATCGTTTCTCATTTCAAAAGATAAAATGTTGTCGTGGTATAATTTGCATATGAAAGTTTCCCTTTAATAGTTTTAAATCGCCTATGATTCCTTTGATAAAACGCGTAAAGTGAAAGTTTATATAACACACGATAATAATCGACCTCGTACGTTGGGCGTACGCATGTACGCGGGTCGTACGCGTGCTTCATGCGTGACCGAGTCCTCGACTGCCTTGGAGCTCGGATGGGACGGGGCATAGCCTCGCACAGGCGCGACGTGGACGATCTGAGGCCAAGGCCTCACGTACGCTGGGCGTACAGGGGTTACGCTGGGCGTAACTCGGCCCTATCTGGTGACTCCCCTTCGGATAATAGCAAGGGTTTTTTAATTAAATTTATATATTAATTATTTAATAAACTTCAAAAATACATATCTTCTTCATACGAACTCCGTTTTCGACGTTCTTTATATCCACGCGAAGGTGAGACCATACTCTACAACTATCTTTTAGATCCCGTTGGCAAATTCCGAAATTATTTTTATTATTTATTTTTAAAAGGTCGCGGTAAGAAAATTTCTTTAGAACTTCATAACTTCTTTATCTGACGTCGGTTTTTGCCAGACTCTTTACCGCTGAAATACCATTGTTGAGACCTTCGATTCTCATTTAGGTCATTCCGGTCAAAAGTCGCTCGATCTCTGATTCAAGTTTTTAGCCGTCTGTCGTTAAGCCGAACTTGAAAAATTCCTAACTTTCTTATACGAAGTCGGATTTGGGCATTCTTTTTACGTACGATCACAATTTAATGACATCTAACATAATAGGTAATTTAATTAGTGATTTTTGGATATTTTATTTTTGAAGTAAATTTTATTACAACTAACGTGGTTACAATACTTGACTTTTTAGGTCGTTTACATGTAGTTGAAATATCGGGTTGTCACATCATCCCCCCGTTAGAGGGAATTTCATCCTGAAATTTAAAGCAAGAAAGATACAAGTGAATCAGAGAAAAAGATGCGGGTACTTTTGTTTCATCTGATCTTCGCGTTCCCATGTGAATTCAGGTCCTCGCTTGGCGTTCCAATGGACTTTCACGATGGGTATGCGACTTTGTTTCGTTTGTTTGACCTCTCGGTCCATGACTTCTACCGGTTCTTCCATGAAGTTGAGGCTCTCGTTGATCTCGATCTTGTCGAGTGGGATAACAAGAGTCTCATCGGACAGACACTTTTTTAAATTCGATATGTGGAAGGTTGGGTGTATGTTACTAAATTCACGTGGTAGATTAAGTTTTTAAGCTACAGGGCCGATTCTGGTGAGAATCTCGAAAGGCCCTATGTACCTTGGATTTAGCTTTCCACGCTTTCCAAAGCGTATTAAGCCTTTCCATGGCGAGACTTTCAATAGAACACGGTCTCCTACTTGGAATTCCAAAGGTTTTCTCCGTTGGTCAGCATAGCTTTTCTATCGGTCTCTAAATGCTTTCAACCGTTCACGAATCTGAACGATATTCTCTGTCATTTCTCGTATGATTTCCAGACCGGTGAGAGTACTTTCAGTATCTCGTCCTTTAGCTAGTTGTGTGTCACCAACTTCGGTCCAGCACAGAGGGGATCTGCACTTGCGGCCATAGAGGGCTTCGAATGGAGCAGCCTTTATGCTCGTATGATAACTATTGTTGTATGAAAATTCGACAAGAGGTAAGTGGATATCCCATGCCTTTCCAAAGTCAATCACACAGGCTCTCAGCATATCTTCCAAAGTTTGTATCGTTCTCTCACTTTGCCCGTCTGTTTGTGGATGGTAGGCTGTACTCATGTCTAATCTAGTCCTTAGGGAACTTTGTAGTGACTGCCATAACCTTGATCTAAATCTACTATCTCTATCGGAGATAATGGACATCGGAACCCCATGCAATCGTACTATTTCCCTTATGTAAGTTCTTGTAAGACTTTCCATCTTGTCAGTCTCC